CTCTTCGCCTCGCGCATCAGCCCAGCCCACCGTCCCACCATCCACAAGTCACACCCGCTCCACCTCAAGAGCAGGTCATGTTCGAGGGCACTCTCGCAATGGCAGCATCTCCATAAGCGCGGTGTCGCCGTCGCCCGCATCGCTCCTCTTCAGCACTGCTCTGCCTCCTTCTCCGGCACCTTCGAACGCTACCGTAGCTCCTCAGTCTGCCCCTGCGCGCTCAGCCAACACCACTTTCGTCGCCTCGACACCCCACACGCATACGCGCGGTCACAGTCGAAGCGGATCACGCGCAAGATCTGGCTATCGACCTGCCAGCTTGTTGTTCGCCGGCTCGACATCAGGCACACAGCAAACGCTACCTCTCACTGTAGGTGAATGGAGGGACGTCGATGAAAAGCCAAGACAACCCGAGGCATCTATTTCAGCAGAAACTTCACTCACCCATGGTCGGCGACCCAGTCGTCATTCTCGTCAAACGAGCGTAAGCACCCGACGCGAGAGCATGGAGATCATGGGTGGTCTTGGCATCGGTACATTTGGTGTTGCAGACAGCGCGCTCAACTCCGTTGGAGCGAGTCCACGTCGCCACAGCCGTCAAATGAGTTCGAACCGGCACAGCGGAATTTTGTCAGCCAGTCTGCTGTTTGGTGGTGCATCTGCCGACAGCGCTCAGCGCGCTGGCCGTACATCGGGCATTCACAAGAATGATTTCGACTGGAGAAAGCTGGGCGCAACGCAAGAAGCTGCGCCGCAAGATGACTCTAGCGATCGGCTCACTGCGCTGGAAAAGCTTGAGGGCAGAAGCAGAAGCACCTCACCTGCGACCTCGCGCGAACAGACTACGGGCGACAATGCTTACAACGATCGTCAATCGAGGCCAAGCAGTGTGCAGCTACCAAGCTTTGATGACGTGCACGGCACGGATGCAATGGACAAGAGGAAGAGCGTTAGCTTGCTCGAAGCGAACGAGGCTTCGACATCTTCAGAAGAGCCCTCTGCTTCCGCTGCTCGTTCTAGCCTCACATCCCATCTTGCGCCCTCTACACTTACCGACGGCACGCCCGGTGCACGACCCTCGTCCATCAGAATCAACACTGATGCCGCTCCTCTCGTTGAAGGTCTTGGCACGCTGATGGAAGAGGAGGAAGAGGAGGAAGAGAGCGCGGCAAGCTCGCCTGTCCGCGAACGGGGCTCGCTCGACATTGGCTCAGAGGAAGCCGAGAAGAAGCGCCGCGACCGCGCGGAAGAGCAAGAGACGGTCAAGCGCAACCGTCGCGCCAGCCTGAATCCCAACCCGTTCAAGCTCAAAAGTCGACCGGCAAGCTTGTACGTTGGCACGCTCAAATCTTCTGTCAACAATGGAGGCATCGTTGCGAGCAATTCTTTGCCCCAACTCGCTGCCATCTCTGGTGAAGAGGAGGAAGAAGAGCAAGATATCAGTGTTGATGAGCGACCTTCGTCGTCAACACCACGCGCAAGCTCGACGCAAGCGCCGCAAGACTGGTCGGTGGATTCAGCACAGCGAAAGCTAGCGACAGCGCGAGCCGACGTCACGCAGAGACAGCAAGCCGCCGTTGCTACAACTGAAGTGAAACGCAGCTGGCGATCTTCAATGCCCTCGACCGCTGCTCTCAACATGAACGCTACTTCGTCTCCTGCTGTTCCAGCGCCCGCCCCGGCGCCCCGACAAGGCATGCGCACACTCCGCTTGGGCAGCATTTCAAACGAACACAAGGGACAGTCAGATTCCCTCAGTTCTATTGCCAGCAACAACACGACCGCCTCATCTGTCTCGATGTCGGTAGCCTCCGGGGCTGTACCGATCGGACGTCGTCAGAGCCTTGTTCTTGCGGCCGCACAAGACTTGGGCCAAGGTTTGCCCTCAGTACTTAGGGAATCCAACGGTCCTTCGCCTGGCGCAGGACGGCGTAGCAGCATCCACTACAAATCGAGCACTCCCACTCCAGCATCTGCTCCCGCTGCTGTTGGCAGTGCATCTGGTTCGTTGCCTTCGCCGCCTGCATCCGAGCGTCCGAATCCGCCTGCGACGGCGGCGCCAACCGGAGCATCGTCGTTCAAGCAAGTCCAGTTCGACGAACTGAAAGCTGCGCACCAACGCGAGCACGGTCTGCTCGAAGCTAGTCGCAGACAAGTCGAACGTCTCACACATGAGCTCGCTGTGGAAAAGGAACGGTCTGCGCGCGAGTATGCCGAGCTAGAGAGCTGGAGCGCAGAAGAAAAGAGGACGCTCGGAGCTCGGATCGAGCATCTCGAACAAGCGGCTGCCGCGAGCGCGAACTCAGCACTGACCCGCGAAACGGAGCTTCTTGGACGCATCGAGTCTGTGGAGACAGAGCTGAAAACGCACGCAGAGCGTCTCGAGGATGCCGAAGCAGAGCGAGACATGCTCCAGGAAGACATCGACGGGTGGCGCACTCGCTGCGGCGATCTGGAAAAGTCTGTTCGCACCGAGCGCATGGCTGCTGACGAAGAGAGACGCGCCAATGCCACCGCAAAACTGCGCATCCAAATGCTTACGCAAAAATTGCAGGAAGCTGGTATCGAGGTCCCGAAGGCACAAGCCGACGAGACTTTCGAGGATGGTCTCCCTGCTGATCTCGCTAGTGTGTTGCGTAGCCCCGCGCTTGGCTCGGTCAGCCCAGTGGTGCAGCAGAATGGCTACTTTTCGCCGCACCCTGGTGCAGAGCCATCTGCACCTCCTCCGCAAGCTATCAAGCTGCTCAAGGAGATGAGACAGCAGATCTTCAACCTCGCCGGTACGCTGGAGCATGAGCGTACCGAGCATGTCAGCGCTAAGACAGAGCTGGACGCTTTGCGCGAAGAGAATGCCAGACTCCGTGGCGAGTCTACGCTGAACACGACCGTCAGCAGCGGCGAGACGGAGAGCGCCGGCCACAGCCCTGCAGGCAGCCCTCCTCGCCGATTCTCTGCCACGCAGAAGAGCACGACCGCAAGCAAGACAAAGCGACATGTCTTTGCGTACGATAGCAGCATGGGCAGCACTTCCATGGGCAGCGGTAGCGTTGCTGCAGGCACTGCTAGCACTGTCCCCTCAGAGTACGAGCACGGCGACAACGAGGACCACTTCAAGGAGGATCATGGCAACGAGGATCTTCTCCACGGGCTAGGCAGTCTTCAAACGTTGACGGAGATTGAGGAGGAAGAGCAGCAGTCTGACGCTGCGCGTACACCGCTCGCACGACCTCAGTCCGTCGGAGAAGCTCCCGATCTCGAAGCCGGTGGCACTTACGACGCCGAGGAGTCCTCATCGCTACCTGATCTCGAGCATTCCACTCCCATTCGAAAGACCCTCGACAAGACTGTTCCCGTCTTGACTGTCGACGGTCAACCCCTCACGCCGACTGCGAGCCACTCGAGCTGTTCATCCACCGAAAGCAGTCACGGTCCGGCATCTCCTCGTAACAGTTACGAGGAACAAGTCGACGAAGCCCTCGATGAGGACTACGACGAGAGCGATGCGGACGATGAGGAAGAGGAAGCCATGAAGCGTGCTCGATCTGCTAAGCCCGAGTTCATTCGCGAGTGGTCCTTTGAAATGGCTATGTCTTCGATTGCGGCAAAGCGTCAGCAGAGGGCAACCTCCCGCGGAAAGACTCCCAAGAGCGCACCTGCTGTCGTTGAGACTACGACCAAGTCTCGCCCCAGTAGACCTCGCCGTCGCCGTCAACAGAGCTCGGATGACTTCTTCGGGCTGCTCGCCTTGGACAGCACAGATCCATTGCCAGCTTTGCCGACTCCGGATGAAGCGCTCGAGATGCCACCTTTCTACGTCGAGCAGTCTTCACGCGATAGCTATGCAGGCAGCAAACGCCGCAGCGTCGAGAGCTACGACCACAGCCCGCGTGTCTCTATGCGGGTCTCCAGCGGCGGTATGCCTGCGCAGCAACGCCCTCCTGTCGCCAAGAGCGCTTACGCCCACGCGCACACCGCCGAGACGATTGATGCTGCAGCAGCTGCTGGCGGCATGCTCAGCAGGATGAGTCTCGGCGGGCTTACGAGCGCTTTCTCCGGATTGGGCGGTTACCTCTTGTCTGGCCAGAGCGGAGCGGTCCAGGCGGCTGCCGCAGCCACGAAAGCCTGCGCGGGTAGCGGAAGCGTCACACCTGGTGCAGACCCTTCCGTGCACCACTCGTACAGTGAAGAGAGTGGATTGGACTCGCCCCAGAGCAGCTTCAGCTGGACGGCCACTCGACGGGTCGAGGATGGTGGAGAACCACATCACAATGATGGACTCTCGTCCGATCCTTGGGCTCAGCACCACCTTGCACAAATGCGACAGCAACAACAGAGGGCTTGGTGATCAAGTCTCTACCTGCCATTCGCCATCCTTTGAGGCAATCAGTCCACTCCACTTCACGCCATATCATATTCTACTCTCACGCCTTTAGTCACGTTTTGACGTTTCCCCCAAATTAGCTAGGCTAAGTCACCCGAGAAATACAGCACACTGTCCGAGCGACACCGCTCTCAACCCTCGCCCAATGCAGCTGGCTCTGCGAAGCGACGCCTTTTCACATAGAACCTGTCCGTCGTTCAATCCCACCTTCGACTCTCTTCTGTTTCCTTTTTCGTCTAGCCGCAATTATTCCTTGACCCCAATCGCTTCTTTGTAAGATCTTTCGATGCAGCCACCACGTTTTCGATTCGCAACCAATCTATCCCGATCGTCACGCCCGAATCGAGTGAGATACTTGATCTTACGACTGTTCCGCTGATCCGCCGCTGGCTCGTCAACGCTGGGTGTGCTTCTTGTTTTCAACAATCAAACGCCCTCTGCAAGTGAGGGCGCAAACGTAGGCACGAAAGGAAATGCATCCTATAGTAGGTGTTTCTCCAACGATTCGAGAGCATTCTTGTCCTTTTCGCTTGGCGGACCCTGTGCACTGATAACATCCGTCTGGAAACGGCGCTGAGCACGAAGCGCAGATCTGCAAGTCTTGTCTTCACACAACCGTCACTCCCATGCTACCTGCGGCTGTCGATAACGCATCGCATTACGTGCGCGTCAAGATTGGTAAAGACGGGCGATTGAAAGCGATCGCGAAATCAGCAAAAGGCGCCATTGAATCCAGGCAGTTGTGACGAGCTTTGGGGCGCGCAACTGGTGCGACTCAAGAGTTGTGATCCGAGCGCTTCAAAGATCACACAAAAGGGATGGCTAGGCACACGTTGATCGTAGCTACGGGCGGTCACTCTGGGTTGGTGCGTCTGGCCTGTGGTCACACTGCAAAAGAGAATGGAGAGGGAGATTTGAGGCGGGGAAGATGACGAAGCGAAACGAGGAGTGGGCGAAGCATGGAACTAGACATGGTGTAGACCTGTTGCGTTTTCATCATTGAGACTAACCTTCGCATCCATCATCGCTCTTTGTCCATTTCCATCCATCAGGGATTCCAAACATTACATCAGCTATTGCAGCGAGCTCCCGCCTCTTTGCCTCCTCCCTACCACTTGATCCTATTTGGTCGTGCAAGCTCCGCATCATCCACGGGTGTGGACAGGCTGTCATCTTTATGCAGCGCTGACACCGCTTCAAAGCTCGAGTACAGGTCACTAGATCTTGACGATCTGGCAGCGACAAAGAGCGCAGGCGCGTTCTTGGCGGATGAAGTCAAAGCAAAGCATTGGAGCATCTCCACCTTCTTCTTCAATGCGGCGATCTGGCCGGCGAAGAGGGAGTCAGTGAAAAGTCATGACGATGAGGGCGAGCGAGAAGTTGACAAATGTTTGGCTGTCAACCACATAGGTAAGTGTGCTGTTTAGATGGGATGCGCATGGCCTGAAGCCAATGTGAAGCGTTCCGACGATGAATTTGTCCTTTCTGTCACTCTTAGCGCATTTGCTTTTCCTTCAGCCTTTGTTGCCGCTCCTGCTTGAGCGAGCATACATTCCGGATGATCGAGCGCCTCGTATCGTATTCACGAACTCTTCACTGCACCGACGAGCAGACCCATGTAAGTTGCGGGTCTCATTTCGAGCGCATGATCATCCTGATTCATCGGGATCGCACCCATATTGCCTCTCCATGTTCAGCGACGCTCGAAAGTCTTTTTGACCTCACCAAATCCGGTCCTGAAGGCTGGACTGGCCGGGCGTGTTACAGCGCAAGCAAGTTCATCCAGATCCTTGGCGCACGCAAATTGGCTGAGCAACTGGAAGAGCAGCTGACCTTGAAAGGCGGCGACGCTGTCGCTCCCGAGCTTGTGATCGTCCAGCCTGGTGAGCAGCCAAGAGCATCCCAAAGTCTCTGCCAGCCTCGTGCAGAGCCCTGTGTTCATGCTATCATCTCTGCGCCCCGCTCTTTCCTTCTTTTTCTTTCCTCGACAGGCTTTGTCCCATCCACAGGTCTGGCCCGATCCTCGCCTTTGTCGACGCGTCTGTTTATGAAAGCCTTCTCCTACCTGCCGCTGTCGTTCATCGAATCCGAGATGGGCGCAGGAGAGACACTTTTGAAAGCGCTAAGCGCGCCGCTGTCGAGTTTGCAAGCCACCCACACGCCAGACGCACGCACGGCAGATCAGCTGAGTCAGCTCAACGAGCAGGGCTCACCAATCAGGTGGACACCCAAGGACGCCCGCGTTCAAGGCGCTATGATCGTTCGCGGTGGCGGACTGGACCTTCCTGATCCGCGAACAGAAAATGAAGCTCTGCAGCAGACGTGGTGGCCCCTCTGATACGCTCACCGCTCGTTCAGATAAAAAGACAATGGACACCTTATTCTTTGTAGCGCGGTCGCTGTTGAGGCGCAGTGTCCATTGCTTGTGCAAAAGGATGAGAAAAGAGCGTAAGGTACAGGCAAACGGTCGCCCGTGATCGGAACAACGGCGGCGGATGGAGCTGACGAAACTTTCACAGACTATGACATGGGACAATTTTCAGAGACAAATCGAGAAGTCTACCTGAACGTGAAGGTCGGATACTATCTCGATGTCATCTGTTTGATGCACGCAAGCCAGGGCCGAGAGCTCTCGATCTCAGTGGTCGTCGGTCGGTTGCGGCTCATCACTTGGAGTCGTCGTTTTCGTCTTTTCAGGCTGCTCGTCCTTCTGTAGCTGCTTCTCTGGTCCACCGTCGTACTTGTGTTGAGCGACGAGGCAGTCGTAAGAAGTGGAGGCGAGAGGAAGAGCCAAAGGAGCTTCGTCGCCGGTCCCGGCATCGCGACGGCCGGGAGTCTCGTTCCCGGTTTCCGTCTTGGTGACCACCTCTGGCTGCTTGGTATCACCGTTGTTGGGTTGGGCAACTCTGCTCTTGCAGACGAGAGGAGCATGAGAAGTGGTATCGAAGTGCAGCTGAATGTCGCCGGCGTCGGTGATGTTGACTGCAAGCAGGCCGGCACATTGCGCGCCGAGCGTCAGCCTCATTCACCTCGCGAGAGAGTGGGGAAAAATTGTGATGTTCTTCGGCCCACTTACAGCTAATGTTGATGCTGATGGGCCCGAAACGGCTTCCCTGCCCAAAGGTGAAATTGTGCGGCGTGAGGGTGTAGCCGCCGCCAAAGCCAACACCAGACTTCTCGATGCCGGCGTTCCAACCACCTGATGGTGGACGGAGATGGAATGTCAACACCGAGTGCCTCATCATGCTCCTCGTCTGACTTACCGCCAACAGCTCCGCGCTGCCAGTTGATACCGCTGCCAGCGCCGAGACCAGTGCCGAAGCCGTGAAGGAAACCTAGAGAGAGATTGCATGGCAAGATGACACATTAGCATGCAGGCCGTGCAGAGTTCGAGAGTCTTCACACCAGACTCTTACCATTGATGCTCGAGCCGAGGGTGCCTCTCTGATTTTGAGGCTCGCCCTCCGGCCCCTTGCGCACAACATGAGTTTGGTTGTACGCCAGGTTTTGAGAGAGATCGAGATCATCGTCTTCGGTGGAATCCGGGTCTTCTCCTTGACCAGCCTTCTGCGGAACTTCGTCCGTTCTCTTGTTGAAACGAGGCAGCGAACCGTTTTGCACGTTCTCAACGGCAGCGTCTGAACGTCTGTGGGGACGTCCTTCAGTTTCAAGATTATTGTTGTCCCCATCGCTACCACCATAAGTAGCACGCCTCTGGTTGGGACTGTCATTGGTCTTGACTCCATTTACGTGCCAGCGTTGCCCACCGCCATACATGCCGTCCCTGCTTTGGAGTGCGGTAGCAGGCGAGACACGCCTCTCAATAGGGCTGTCACTGCCCTTGATCACATTGACGTGACCGTTCCAGCCACCTCCGAAATTTTCCCTCCTTGGACCGAGGGCGTCGGTGGGCGAGGCGAGAGCGCTGAGCGCGATAGTGCTGAGCAGCACGTAAGCAGCCGAAAGATTGATGCGCTTCAACATGATAGTGAATATGAGTAAGCTTCAATCAGAAGGTGGGCGGTGGGTTGTGCAAAGGAGGGAGGGAAGAGGAGGCGCCGTGTGAGAGCTGGGGGAACAGGCTTACCAAGGAGCGTGAGGCAGGCAATCTTTATAGGTGAGGAGGTGAGATCTTTGGGCTATGCCGAGCAAGGTGCTGGATGGCAATTTCGCTCAAAGTCTGTCTGAGAGCGGCGAGCACGCGATCTTCGGAGCTCGTAGTGTTGCTTGCATGGCTGCAAGTTTGGCCTCGAAACGAGGGCCAGTTTGGAGCGGGCTGAACGCAATATATTGATCATTGTCTGTGAGACCGAAGGGAGTTCGGTGCGCAGCACAGCATTTATGACCGCGTGCCGTTCTGAGCAACTGGAGGGCATGCCAAATGGAGCAGCACCCCAGCAGAAAAGGCATCCGCTTGAACTGAAGCAGCGAAGGGGCGCAAACCTGTGGGACAAGGTCATCATTTCAATCGCAAGCCGATTGTGACCACACGACGACCTCTGATGCGCAGCCAAAGTTGCGAGCGCTTTCCTCTTGTAAACTTTGACCAGAGCGACATTTGCGCTTGCTGAAGACTTCCAGGCAAGGCCGGCCCTCGGCCCCGAGAATCGGTCGCGGCAGAGTACGATGGGCGTGGTGATCAGAGTATAGTGCAGCAGCGACGGAAGGCGCAAATTAATGACTCATTCTGACGGCGGCCTTCTTCAGCACTGCAGGATCGTCGTACCCGCGGCTTCACAGGTCTGCAAATGACTCAGGGCAGCGAAGTCCGTCCAGCATATAGACGTGAAATTGTCGCGGTGATTGAGCCGTCGCCAAGGTGCGAAGGTCTCTGCCCACATTTGCTGCGAAAGAATTCGTGCGCGCCTTGTAAGTCACGCGATAGTGTTGGTAAAGGTCTTCGTTTGCTCAGCTCTATGGTAGGGTCTCACTTGTACATGTAGGGACGCGCGCACAGTCAGTCACGTGACCGACACGCCTTCTCCTTCACCTTTGCCGCCTGTACAGAGGATGTCGGAAGGGTGCCTTACGCCAAGGTCCGTCGCCCGATGCTTGGCGTAACTCGTTTGTAGCTCCATGGGTCTTTCTGGTGGCCCCCGTGTCGTCAGGTGGATAGGCATACTCAGCACTCGTCTATCACTGACGATTCTCGTCGCCCGAAAGCTGCGCTACAGCTTGCATCGTTCTCCACCGACTTTCCGAGGTTCAGAATAAGTGAGTTAGGCATCACCGCGCAATTTGCGCGACAACATCACTGAAACGACGGACGCAGCCAGGACAGCAATATCTTTCGAAGAACGAGGCAAAGCCGATGGCAGTCTCGTTTAGCTTGGCGAATATTTAGAGCGGTCTTGACTGCTCATCCTACTTGACTTCGGTAGGCATTAGCCAGGCAGTCGAGACGACCGTGGAGAGAGCATACGTTGAGGTCGGGGTGAGCCAAGTGTAATTATACCCGGCGCTCAATGATCGAATCAGCCCCACGCCGCTGACCTGTACACGCAGCTAAGTAAGCAAGTGTGAACGGAACGGCTTGGCTGTGCAAATGTCGAGTTGCGGGTCGCCTTTGGCTCGTCTGAGGCTACTTTCCAAGGTCTTGGTCGGCAAAGGCGCCTTGCCGTCCGTGATGCGCAAGTGCACCGCGATATTCTTGCACAGCTCGATTTGTCGTTCCCGGGCGTTGTGAGAGTCTGTAAATGGCGGCGCAAAAAAGCCTGGCCAGTGCTCATCTGCGTATTCGTGAATCCATCCAGAGCCGACTTCTCTAACAAGCCGTTGGGCGCTTCGAACAGAAGTCTGCGGAGGGCGTGCAATCTAATGCGCAAGGACTCGTGACTATCTAATTTGAATGTACATATACGATCATTTTTATCTTTTCGGAATCCGAGAAGATGGCCGAGTTGGTGCGCACCAGCAAGATCCATTTCGTGCGCGCGGGCGAAAGAGGCATGCTACTGGTGCCTGATCGTGAACCCGCTCGGCTTTCGAGCCATACACTCTGCTGGCCACAGGGTAGGGCTAATAACAAATTAGGGTTTGCCTTGCTGCGTGGAGTGCTGCTGATGACATGCCCGTGCGCAGAGCATTGGACGTTGGAAAGTCTCACCCTGGGTGTGGTTGAGAGAGAAACAACTCGCTGTCTTCTTCTTTTTTCTTTCTCAACCTGGCAGCGCAGGACGCTGCGCAGATGCGAACTAAAAAAAAACATAAAAATAAAACAAAATTAAAAAAATGCAAAGTCAAGCCGAAAATCGTTGCAATGACTGCCAATAAGCACCTCTTCGACGTTGCCTGTCGGTTCCCTTGCGGCGCAGCATGATGTTATGGTACTGATGTCAAAGTTTCAAAGGAGACCCGTCTTGTCGCAGTCAGAATGAATGCCTCCCCAACGAACATAGCTAGGCGCTATAATGCCTGCCTCTTTGAGCCGTGAAGGTCCTCATTCGTCGTCACAGTAGTGCTGATCAAGGGCGCGCATACCCGGCGCGGAAGCGTCGTCTTCCTACGCCAAATCGCCGAGTCGTGACATAGCGAGGCGTGGGAGGGGGCAGACTTGCGCTTGCGGCCGTCGGCGCTCGAGTCAGGGCGTATGAGGTGGAGCAGGGCGGCGCATTTGACGCCTTTGCAAAGTCCTGATCACCACTTGAAATGAGTGCGCGAAAGAGGACCTTCGAGGCATCCAGGCGCAGCAGGGGATCGTGGCTGCAAGGAAGCTAGAAAAGCAGAAATGAAAAAGCTGGGTCAACGTATCGTGCTCATCCAAGCACCCCTGGACACGCTGCGAACCACATTCAACGCGCGAAGCCGGTCTTCGCGTCCCCCCTTTCCAGTCCAAGCTTTGCAGACTTTCCTGGAGGAAGCTTGCTCTCATCCATCCGTCGTGCAGGACACGGCATTTTCCTCTGCTGGACCCTGCTCTTGATTCGAAGCGCCCTTGAGTGCGCTACCGCTGCCTGTCTCAGCTCGTCTAGCGTTGAGTCCCAACGAGCAAAGTGATCTGCAAGCCATCCCCGCTGGACGGACCCACAATCATCCATCCACTTCGATTCTTGACGAACGCCCCAGCCGATCAAACGCCTAAACCTGCATTATCGATTCAAAATGGCACCTCTGCTCAATCTCCCGAGCGTCGTGAGTCATAGGAGGCTACCTTGGCAAGGTGCTTGCCGTCCGAATTCTTGGGCTGACTCGCTCATCATCGCGCGTCCGCTCACCTGCCTGCTTATCAGTTGCCGAGTCCTGGCCCGTCCCCTCTGCTGCCGCGATCCTTGCCCGCCTCTCCAGCTCCAGTTGCACCTACGAACCAATTCCTGCCGCGCGACGGCCAGCCGAGGGCGATCGGCCAGGTCGATGCAGTGGGAAAGAGGGCGCCAAAAGCAGGCGGCAAAGGGCAAAAGCGGCGTTGGCAAAAGAGCGCAAAGTCTCGAAAGCTAGCAGCTCGATCGCAGCAGGTTCCGTCAAGCGCAAGCCTAGAGTCTCGGGCGCAGACGCTCGTTGTTGAGCCCGAATCCCTTCTCGAGGCAAAGGGCAATGTCGAGCTCTTGCTAAAGGCTCCACCTGCACGAAGACACCCGCTCGAACTCTCAGAGGGCGGTGAAGCGGTGGACGAGTTTCTCGAAGATCGCAGTCTAGAGAATGCGGTAGTCGACGAGCGCAGCGGTTTCATCAGCGTCGAGCACCACGAGCCGCAGACTCCGCGCTCCGTGTTTCAGAGCTTCGTCGACGTGCTCGGAACGCGCGCCTTGCGCCTGTACGAGCGCGGGCACGGTGGTCAGCCTGCCCTGGACGTGCCATTGCAAAGCCGCGAGATGAACGAAGCTAGCAAGAAGCCTAGCCGGGCTCAACGACGAAGAAGAGACCTTCAACAGGTCGACCCGTTCCCACTGCAGCCCAACGTCAGCGATCCGACAAGTGAGAAGAAAGGCGACCAATGTAGCAACCTGCACAAAAGAACTCTCGAGGCTCGCAAGATCAAGATCCGGTCAGCAAGCGGGCACGACGCTGATCTTCTTGGCCGCAAGCAGGGAGGTGGGCCTGGTGAAGCTGAGCTGTGGAAGCGATTCGCGTGGGACCAGGGCACCGTAGATTTGTATGCAGCAGCCGGGTGCAAGTTGCCTGTGTTCAGTGGCTGTATCCCGGGTGGTCACTGCGTCTCACATTGATACTCCGAAAAGCGTTGTCTACGTGCAATGGGACTTTTGCTGAACCCATGAACTATGAGCGCGGTGTCGAGATCTGACTCGTGGACAAAGCTTCCTGGATAGATCGCAGTGCTGTAATATGGCGCTTGGATGCGATGCGGCGTGTGGGGGCTTCTGTAAGGAAGGCCCACCCCACAGGTAAGCGTACACGCCCCGCGTGAGCTTCAATCTTCAATCACGAATCTGAATGGTGGATATAATCACGAATCGCTTTGCGCACGCCGCTTGCGGGTGAACCCTGCATGACGACCTTCTTCTTATTATTGTGCGGCATGATCGACGCGCTTGGCTATATTGACGCGCCAATTACAACTCGACTCACACTGCTTAGCTGCCCGCGTTGCCTACCCGCAAAGGCTGGCTGAACAGCAGCGTCGCTCGATCGGCTCACCTCATCACAGCGGAGACGCGCGCGTGCTGTGTGGCTGCGTGGGTCTCGCGCCAGCTCCGTCGGTCACTATACGCCGGGCTTTGCGGATGGACTCGATCACAATCGTGGATAGGTAGACTCACGACTACGGGTTACACAAGACTGCGCCCCGGGTCATTCTTCCGACAAAAGCGGGGTTCGTTACCCTCTGACCTGTCCACATCCTTCCTTTTGCCATTCGTTGACGCCCTTCTCGCTTTGTAGCTTCACCTCGCCCTCTGGAATTGTCAGAAATAGGTAGCGTAGGGGCCAGGAGGATGTCGGCACCTGCAGACTTGGAGGCGCCCGCCGCCGACCCTTCTCCGCATGCCTCGCCAAGTCAAAATGAGTCTACCCTTCGACAACGCGCGCCTGTGCAAGGCCTAGTGGGAAGCAGCACGTTGGGTCGTGGAGACTCGCCGAACGATTCTAGGACTGCGGGCCACTCTGACGAAGAAGTAGCAGCTTCCGCAAAAAATGGAAAGAGAGCATACAACCTGAAACCGTTCGATGGCAATTATAGCGCTTCAGCTGCTGCCCAGGGGGGACGACCTCGACAGGCGCCCCAAGAACATCCCGCCGATCATGCTGGTGTGCAATCCTCTTTCCCCTGCTTTCCTGGTGACAGGGCGTGGGGCGAGAGGTCTTGGCTGTACGAGTTCATGCCATTCAGAGGGATGTACTACGATGTGAGGCGTAGGCTGCCCTTCTACGCTTCGGACTGGACCTCGGCCTTCCTTCCCAAGAATTGGTGGACCATCCTTCAGAGCATTCCAAGGCTGTATTTCATCAAGTAAGTGCATACATGCGCGTCCATCCGCCCGGCTCTGGTCGCACAATAAGTGTTGGTCAGGAAATTAAGTGACCTGGATGACGTATCGTGCTAGTCGCCACGGCAGCATCCGAGGTTCGGCTTCACTGACCCTGATCTCTGCTCTCCACGCGCCTTCTAGCTTAATGCCTGCGATAGCCTATCTCCTCGATCTCACCCACCGCACCAATGGCGCTTACGGTATCAACGAAGTCATCATCGTCACCGCCTTGCCTCTCGTCGTATTCTCGATCTTTTCAGCTCAGCCACTGACCATTGTTGGCTTCACTGGTCTTACAAATTTGGTGTGCTATACACAGTAAGTCGCAGCTTGATGGCTCATCAGCGCGTGAGATGAACACTGATAGGCGCGCTCTCCGCAGATACACCATCGTCGTTGGCCACTATGGTCTTAGTCAGCTAGACTACCTGCGAGTACAGGCTTGGGCATTCATTTGGGCGTGAGTGGGCGGCCGCGTCTGTACCCACGCGGTCCTCAGACACTCAAACTTCAACTTAACGATCGCAGGGCTGGGTTCCACTTCATTGCCGCTGTGTTTAATCTATGCGACTTCTCGCGCTTCATCACCGACATGACCTCGTCTACTTTTGGATTGTAAGTCACAATCAAATTCAAAGCAGGAGTGTTGAACGCTCTGCTCATCGTGTCTGCCTTTTGCGACCTGTAGCTATGTCGGAATCGTGTACATTCAAAAGGGGATCGAGATCTTGATTTTGGAATTCGAGCCAGCTCCGCTCGACAACGCGACTGGCTGGCTGAGCGTCGTGGTGGCCATGCTTTTCGTGATCTCTGTCTACCTCGTCAGCAAGGTGGCCAACACCTCTGCACTGCCCTTCAAGCTTCGCTCTTTTGTCGGCGCTTTCGCTTTCGCTGCTGGCTGCTTGGTCTGGACAGGATTCACTCACTTTCCGGAGAATAGTCTTAGGCGCGTTCCACTTGAGCGTCTGCCAATCACAAAAAGCTTCTTCCCGACGCTGGACAGATCTTGGTTCATCGACTTCTGGAACATCGAGCTTCGGTGGGTATTCGTGGGAGCCGGCTTTGGATTTGGCATCTTCCTTCTTTTCTGGTTCGATCACAACGTATCCTCCATTATGGCACAAGGTAGACAATTTCCTCTCAAACGGCCAGCAGGGTTTCACTGGGACTTCTTCCTTCTCGGCGTCACCACCCTCGTCTCTGGCTTTCTAGGTTTGCCAGCGCCAAATGGTCTTGTGCCACAATGCCCATGGCACACCGACTCGCTCTCCGTCTACAAGCAAGTGGATCCCGATGCTGCCGCTGAGAATGAGGAGAAGGACCCTAAAGCCACGTCAAGGCAGCGCCGAGCCCCTGCTACGATTGTGAATACGCGCGTCGTCGAGCAGCGCGTCTCACACTTGATAGTGGGCTTGCTCACAGTCGGAACAGCTACGCGCCCACTCCTTGTGGCCCTGGGAACGATGCCGCGCGCCGTCTTTGCCGGCATCTTCATTCTGGTGGGATGGGCATCCATAGAGGATAACATCATCACCACCCGAACATTGGCACTTTTCAGAGATGACGCTATGGCGGATCCCAAGGATCCCCTCCTAAAGGTCCGCAAGTCTAAAATCTTCCTGTTCGTCGCTATTCAGTGGCTATTCTTCGCCATGACATTCGCCATCAGTCAGACCATTGCCGCCATCGGATTCCCAGTAATCATCATTTTACTGATTCCTTTCCGCTACTACTTGGTGCCGCGATGGTTCTCCCCTGCGGAGCTCAAGATTCTGGATGCTCCAACTGCCGACTCTGACGTCGTCCTCGCCTCTATCGGACATTCATTTGGTGTCACTGGAGCGGGCGAGCGAGTTGCACGCGACACTGGCATTGCGGGCGAATTGTGGGACGGCTCGGAATTTGACGACGACGAATATGGAGAGTTCGGTAGCAGCAGGTTCAACAAGTCGCGCAGAAATTTGTACGACTCTGAAGGCGCTGAGGGCGCTGCTGCTTACACCATCGGAGACGAGAATGAGGGTGACCTCCCGCCTCGCATCGAGACGCCGTTCCCAGGCCGCGCACCTAGCCCCTTCCATTGGTACCGCCCGCAAACACCACTCACTCCGCAGTTTGACACGCAAGGTGGCCAAGCAAGCAGCCAATCGCAAGATGATGCAGCACCATCTGCTCATGCCCCGTCTCCCACGACTGTGCCTGCCGCAATACCCAGGACTTGGTTCTCGCCGAAGAAGAGCAGCAATGAGAAGGCCACTGCGAGCGCGAGCGAGCCTGCCCTTTCTCAAAACAACCGCTCTCCAAATGAGCCTGTGAATGCGCCTCCCATTCTCGCCGCCCCGCCCATTGGAGGGGGCGAAACCTTGGACGCAGAGATCCTTTCTGCGCTTTCCAGTGGAGATGCAGAGCCGGCGTCAGAGCCGTCGACAGCCCCGGCTGTGCTCGCGGCACCCCCAGTCTCTAGCATCGCAGGCAAGGGATCCACTCAAGTCGTAGATGCGTCTGCAGAAAGCACCGCACAGAGCGGCTCAACAGCTTCCCAAGCTCTTGCTGTAGATGCGGCTGTCACCGGCGCTTTGGGAGTGGGCGCTGCCGGCATTGCTAAATCCGTCACTAGCGACAAGGCATCGACGAAACAGGACAAAAAGGCACGTAAAGCTGCTGAGAAAGCCGAAAAGGAAGAGCAGAAGCGTTTGAAGCGGGAAGCGCAGCGCAAGGCTGCTGAAGAGACCCAAGCTCTTGCTAACAAGCGCCTCCTCGCCGCGCAGCAAGCTGCTGCAGAGACCCAAGCGCGTGCTGAGAAGCTCAAGACTGATCAGCAACGTGCTGAAGAGGCAGCAGGGGCTGACAGACTGCGACAGCGACAAGAGCGGGAAGCTGCGGAACAGCAGGCCAGAGAGTCAAAAGAACTGGAACGCAGAAACTCGAAGTTGAAGCGATCGGAGAGCAAGAAGGCTTCTAAAGAAGCGGCGCAGACTGCGGCTGCAGCTGCAGCTGGCTCGGCTACTCTTCACGAGCTTGTCGAAGAGCACGAGCAACAGGAGGCTGCCAAGGCGGCCCAAGCCGAGCGCGACGAAAAACATGCGAGGGACCATGATAAGGCGGAAGCCGAGCTGCGCGCCAAGGAGGAAGCTGACAAGGCTGCCGCTGCCGCTGCTGGAGGTGCTGCTCTGGAGCATCTGGCCTTGCAGGTCAAGCAAGACAGTGAAAAGGAAGCCGAAAAGGAAGCGAAAGCGGCTGAGGAGAAGCAAAAAGCAGAGTCGGCTGCTGCATTGGCTGGTGGGGATGCTTTGGCAAAGCTGGCTAGC